TAGGCTTAGGGTTTTAGGGGTGTTAGGTTTTCTGGTTCAAGGTTGGGGCCACTTTTTGCGGGAGCAGGGATGGGGGGAGGGTCGTGGCGTCTAGGTGTTTGGGGATGTACGGCTTTAAGTTCAGCAACTGGACGTTTCGTGGCGGGGTTTTAGGGTTGAAGAGTTTGCCCCAACTAGTAGCCCTAATTCACCCTAAACCCTAAACCCTAATCCAGTTGCATTCTGGGTTTTCGGGCCCCTTTGACAGTTGAGGCCTTACGGGGTCCTGGATCGTGTGGGTTTGGGGGTAAGGGCTCGGGTACAGGACCTTATGAAGTCGAAGTCTCCGTTAAGAGGGTTTAGGGTTTAGGGTTTAGGGGTCGGAATAATTAAATACTAATAGTATTCCCTTATGGGCCCTCTAAGAATATACTATAACGGCCTCCAAAACCCTGTTCTAATTATTGAGGCCCCTAGTTCAGGGTAGATTCTTGTGAGGGGCTCCAGAGAAGTAGGCCCCAAACGTACTTGGAAAGGTTTCGGGGCGTTGGGGTTCTGGGGGCATGACCGCGCTGCTTTTGTGCTCCATTTCCTATCCCCCAAGCCTGAAAAGCATGAAAAGCCCTAAACTCTAAGCCCCAAACCCTGTGTTGGCTTTTCTCTGAGCTTTCAATACAAGCTCGAAGCGCTTGCAATTTCTACACACTACACTAAACCCCAAAGCACGAGCCCGATAATTTCGCGTCAGCGGGCAAAAATGTCGATGCCACACAGTGCGCAACCCCCGCCTAAACCCTAAAACCCGAAACCCCAAACCCCAAACCCCAAATCCCAAACCCTACACCATAAACCCGAAACCCCAAACCCCAAACCCTAAACCCCCATTTGCTGAGCCCCAAACTCAAATGCTCTGCTACTTGTGGACTCCGGGGAATCGGCGCTGGGGGTGGGGGATTTCCGAGTTTAGGGTTTGGGGTTTAGGGTTTAGGGTTTGAAGGGATTAAATCTGGTTTCGGCTGCCAGAGGAGCTTAGGGGTTTAGGGGTTTCTGGGGATTACATAGGGTCTAGGGTTTTTAGGGCTTCTAAGTCTAAGTCTCGAGCACTTCTGTGTCAAGGTCCCGGCGCACTTTGACTGCGAGAACTTGTGCAACTTCGTAGCCCAGTGGTACTCTTTACTTTCTTTTTGGGGTTCCAGGCCCCCTCATAAAGTAACCCCGAAACCCGAAACCCCAAACCCTAAACCCCCCCAAAAAGGGTGCCCCAACGATGATTATGGTTACTGGGCGACCGAGGCAACAGCAGCCAGTGGCATCTGGAGTCCAAGGGCCCGTCAACCTGCCCCTTTGGGTCTCTTCGGTGCGTCGGCAGCCCTTTTTCCACCTTTTTTTGAGTTTAGGGTTTAGGGCTTAGGGTTTAGGGCTTAGGGTTTAGGGTCTAGGGCCCTTTTTCCACCTTTTTTTGAGTTTAGGGTTTAGGGCTTAGGGTTTAGGGCTTAGGGTTTAGGGTCTAGGGCCCTTTTTCCACCTTTTTTTGAGTTTAGGGTTTAGGGCTTAGGGTTTAGGGTCTAGGGTTTAGGGTTTAGTCCGTCCCTAAACCCTAAACCCCTAAAGACCCAAAGCTCTGAAGCCCCAAAGCCCCCTCCAAAGATTCCCCAGGAGCCAACTCAGCCAGGACTTTTCGCTACTACCTCACGCTCCCCAGTCGATGGCATGCCTGTCACGAGCACGAGAGCTTTCTGAAGTCGCGGTTTCTTGGGGATTCTTGGGAAGAGCCTTTAATCTTTTCGGCACTGCAATTCCTAGGAAACAGCAATTTTTTCTAAACCCTAAACCCTAAGCCCTAAACCCTAGACCCTAGACCCTAAACCCTAACCGTTTCAGTATAGGTTTGCGTACCTGCAGCCGCAGCTTCCCTTGATCGATGAGGACCACCCCTCTCAACATCCGCTTGGACTTTGAAGTTTGGGGTGTTAAAGTTAGTGTTTCCCTATTCCCTAATCACCCAAAACCCTAAACCCTAAACCCTACATCCTAAGCCGCAAGGTCTAAGCCCGAAGCCCCAAGCTCGAAGCTTTAAGCCCTAGCAATCCCAAGCCGGTGAAGAACCAGCACTTCTCTGACGACGCAAGGGTTTGGCAGCCTACTTCTCCATGGCTTCACAAAGTTAGGGTTTAGGGTTCAGGGTTTAGGGTTCAGGGTTCAGGGTTTAGGGCTTAGGGTTTAGGGGGCTTAGGGTTTAGGGTTTAGGGTTTAGGGTTTAGGGTTTAGGGTTTAGGGGGCTTAGGGCTTAGGGTTTCCGATCAAGATCGAGTTGGGGTCCCTCCTTTGACCCCTTAAGATTAAGGGACACGCAACTACCGTAAGATAAGTTTAGGGTTTAGGGTTTAGGGTTTAGGGTTTAGGGTTTAGGGTTTAGGGTTTAGGGTTCAGGGTTCAGGGTTCAGGGTTTGGGGTTTAGGGTTTAGGGTTTAGGGTTTGGGGCTGGGGGACGTGATCCCATGGGGTTAACTGCGCTTTCTTCTGAGGACTTCGTTTGGTTTGGGTTTGATCTTGGTTATGGGTTTATGGGTTCCAGGGACCCTAATCCCTAACCCTAAACCCTACACCATAAACCCTACATGTAAGGCGCCTGAACGGCCAGGAGTATTTCGAGCAGGTGGCCGTCTACCAATCTGTGCTCCGAGCCAGCGGATCTTTCAACGCAACTTGTCCATGACGCCCCCTTTTACACCCTAAACCCTAAACCCTAAACCCTAAACCCTAAACCCTAAACCCTAAACCCTAAACCCCAAACCCCAAACCCCAAACCCGAAGCCGCGAGTTTAGCCCATACCCATATCCTGGAACTGGTACGCACTCCTCAACAACTCCCCCGACACTCCCGAAGAACCTTCTGGACACCAAGCTCTTCGGGCCCCTTTCCCACAGTTAGGGTTTAGGGTTTAGGGTTTGGGGTTTAGGGTTTAGGGTTTAGGGTTTAGACCTTAGGGTTTCGGGTTTAGGGTTTAGGGTTTAGGCTTTAGGGTTTCGGGTTTAGGGTAGACCTTGATTCCTAAAACCTCGAGGATCCCTAAACCCCTATCGACCCCCAGATCCGAGATCCTCTAAGCCGTGAACCGTATAAGTCCCGAAGCCCCTGGACCCCAAACCCGGTGAAGGTTCCTAAACCCCCAAAACCCTTAGATCCTAGAAACCCTAAGCCCCTAAACCCTAAACCCTAGACCCTAGATCCTGTAAGCCCCTAGACCCTAGACCCTAGACCCCAAACCCCAAACCCCAAACCCCAAACCCCAAACCCCAAACCCCAAACCCCAAACCCCAAACCCCAAACCCCAAACCCTAAACCCTAAACCCTAAACCCTAAATTCCCACCCAGGCCTGCTTAGGCCGTACCCACCCTTTTCTAGGGTGCCTGGACCCAGCACTACACCCGACAGCGACTAACACCAGCGCTTGGACTTACTATGCAAGCCTAAAGAGTTGTGTTGAGCGTGAGCTGCACCTCCAGTGCCGGTGCAGTACCCCGCCTGGGGTACCCCGCCCCCCTTCTCCTCTACTTTTTGAGCCCCCTCGGCCTGCCGCACCCCCGCCCCTGGACCCTCCCCTGGCGCCCCCTGACCCCCCCGACCCCCACCTCCCGACCCCCTTCGCCCGCCTGGCTTGCTTTTGCTGGCCCTGACCCCTGCCCCTTCCTGGCCGGCCACACACCCATCCAGTAAACCCTCGCAGTGAGCAGGGGGAGCATTAAACCCTCCTAGCCCTTCCCTGCCCTCTAAAAGTCGGTTGCGAGCCCCTCGCCGTTACCTTGCTCGAGGCAAGGCCCCGGGACTTGGGACCCCGGGCGTAGGTTTCCCTCGCACTGAAAAAATGTAGCGTGTGCTTCGCTTTCTGCTGTTTGCCTTGTCCAATGCAACAACAAGGCAGAGGGCCTCAGCAAAAGGCATCCTTGGCCATGCCTTTGCGGCACAACATTCCTACTTCCGCAAGGACGTGCTCAGCTCTCCCTCCGAGCGCTACTTTTTTGTCGCCTGTCGTAGCGCTCTGCCATGGGCTTGCTCGAAGCGGCCGGACGGCGATGTCCATGGACGGCTAGAACTACTGTCATCATAATCAAATCTGACGCCCTGAATTTGGTTTCCAAAATCGAAGACGGAACATGCCCCCAGCTTCTGCTGCCGCCTCCACATCTGTCCAAGGAGGGCCCCTGGGTCGGCCTTTTCAGGAGATTTTCCATTTTCCTTCATTGGGTTTAAGGGTGTCGTCATATTCGGAAAGATTTTTCAAAGGGTAGGAAGGGACAGCCCAGACCTACTCGACAAGGGGATCTACTTGGCCGAAGACACCGCAAAGATCGATCAATATCTGATCCACCCCTGTGCCGCCCTCCTTGGCCCTCGGCCCCCCTCCTTGACCTCCCTTTATTTTTCCTGGCCCGACCCTGGCCCCTCTTGAACCCCCCTCTAATGGACTGCTCGAACTACTACGATCATAATCAAATCTTTGGATTGGGGTGTAGGCATTGATTGCATACCGTCGCTTGCTCAAAAACCCCTGCCAAAGCCTCTGACCAAGCGACGTCTATCCTAGGCAACAAGCCGGAGCATCAACTCTACGACCTCCACAAGAAGCTCACTGCTGGACCCCCTCCACCTGCCCCAACCTCTCCTACCCAACCGTTCAAAGGATGGGGGTGGGAAGTGGGAATTTAGGGCGTTAGCCCGAAACCCTAAAAGGAAAAAAGTTGGGTGGATGCCTGCGTAAGCAGGGGGTGGGAAGAATAAAACAACCCAACCTTTCTGGTTGTGGTGGCTCCAACTTCAATATACGCCGCCGCGACATATGCCGCCCCCTCACACCCCCCGGGTGTGTAGGGGCGCCATGTCCGCATGAAATCTACTGCCGCGGCGCGGCGAGAAGCCCTAAACCCCAAACCCCAAACCCTAAACCCTAAACCCTAAACCCTAAACCCTAAACCCCAAACCCCAAACCCTAAACCCTAAACCCTAAACCCAGTGAAGGTGATGGAGTTGGGCGCCCGCTGGGGGACCTGGGGTTGCCGCGGCGTGGCGTTTCTGCGCCGCGTGAACCCCATGCCCTATCGGCTCCTTGAATGGGGGTTTAGGGTTTAGGGTTTAGGGTTTAGGGTTTAGGGTTTAGGGTTTAGGGTGATTTTCGGGCTTGTAGGGTTTAGGGCCCAGGGTGAAGGGTAAACATCTGCTGCAATGAGGCAGCAGAACTTATGATTATCACAAAGGTTCCAAGTATAATTGAGGCAATTTTACTACGGGACATGGGCATCTGTATTGAGTGTAGGTTTAGTGTTTTGTGTTTTGGGTGGACGGGCTTGACCTAAGTCGCCAGACTCTCCAAAGTTTCACGGCTTGGGGTACTTAGCCCTAAGCCCAAAGCCCCTTCAAACCCTGAACCCGAATTCGTGGCAGATATGCGTTGCAGGATTGGCGTGCAAGCTGCGTCCGGCTGAAAACCCAAAACCCTAAAGCCTGAACGAACCCGAAACCCTGAAACCTAAACCTGAACCCTGAACCCTAATGAGTTGGGATGTTACCCTTATACGAACAGTCCTGAAAAGGGAAAATACTAGCTCCACTATAATCCCTATTAAGGACTGCTAGCAGAAGGGGGAACAACCCAACTAATGAGCCAATTTCGGCTTTCGGCCTCCATTCTGCGACTTGAGCAGCCCAGGCTAATTTTAGTGGAGCCGAAGAAAGTGCATTGCTCTGGCGCGCACATGGTTCTAAAGCTCAACAGCCTCTTTTCAATCCTTTGAGTACGCAGCTTTTTTGCGTCTTTCCGGTGATTTTTGTTGGGTTACTGTTGCCCCCCAAAAAGCCACAACTGCTAAGCCGCAAAGACGCTGAGCCACGAACCCTAAGCAGCACTCAACAGAGGCTTGGAAGGCGAGCTGAAATGCACGCATGCGGACGCAGCCCTCTTCTTGAAGCTGATGGAAGACGTACCACACCTGGACCTGTCCCCTGGCTTTTGTTTTTCTTTGGCCTTGGAGACGTCCTCGCGAGGGCAACTCGGGACCCCCATCGAACTATTTATCTGTCTCTGTATATATATATATATATGTTTATTTGTTTATATTTTTACCTTTGTAGAGATATCTAGATGTCTACCTCTCTCTATATATATACACACACACACATATATATATATATATATATGCGCACGCCCAGCCCAGCAAGCATATTTTTTAATCAGTGTTCAGGCAAGAAGAGGGCACCTGCTTTAAGGGGCGGGACCTTCAGCCCTAAGTTCCAGCATGCTACCTGCATTGCGTATAACGCTATGAAATTTAGATGTTCCTGCTTATACTAATAGGGATTATAATCGGCGGGGCGGGAGGGGGGGGCTACTTGAATCCCTCTGAAGGAGTGTTGGTATAAAGGGAACGCCCAAGCTATGTCTCCTAGAAGTCCCAGAAGCTCGTTAGAGAGCGTCCCCCCCGAACTTTAAACTCCAAACGAAAGCACACGAGACCCTAAGTTGCGAAAGCCTGCCAAGACGCGAATACTTGTAGGCACTGGCCCTCAACCCTAAACCCTCAACCTTAAACCCTAAACCCTAAAAACTAAACCCTAAACCCTAAACCCTAAACTCTAAACCCTAAACCCCGAGGTGGGGTTGAGGGTTTAGGGCTTTGCCCGGGGCGACTCCCTCCCTAGTAAGGCTACACATCGACATCCAGGGGGCAGAGGGCCCGCTTCTCGCAGATCCGCTGCTTAGCAGTTGAGTCATGCGGGTTTGGGGCTTAGGGTTTGGGGTTTAAACCCTAAACCCTAAACCCTATACCCCAAACCCTATACCCCAAACCCCAAACCCTAAACCCCAAACCCTCTACCCCAAACCCCAAACCCTAAACCCTAAATTAGGGTTATTTCGCGACTTTCCGGAGCCCTTGTCCAGGGTAGTTGAATCCCGAAGCCCTAAGCCTCAAACCCTAAAGCACACAGTGACAGCCGAAGTGCAAAGGGCGAAACCCGAAACCCGAAACCCGAAACCCTAAACCCTAAACCCTAAACCCTAAACCCTAAACTCTAAACTCTAAACCCTAAACCCTAAACCCTAAACCCTAAACCAACCGGACATGTAAGGCAGGTGCGGCAGGTCTTGGAGAGCAAGGTCTACAGGATCATCCTCGGCACGCACTGGGAGGCACGGTCGAGGGTTTAGGGTTTAGAGCTTAGGGCTTAAGGTTTAAGGCTAGGGTTTAGGGTTTAGGGTTTAGGGCTTAGGGCTTAGGGCTTAGGGCTTAGGGCTTAGGGCTTAGGGCTTAGGGCTTAGGGCTTAGGGCTTAGGGCTTAGGGCTTAGGGCTTAGGGCTTAGGGCTTATGGCTTAGGGCTTAGGGCTTAGGGCTTAGGGCTTAGGGCTTATAAGGCTTAGGGTTTAGGGTTTAGGGTTTAGGGTTCATTTAGGGTTTATGCTTTTTGTGTTTTCGGGCTAATGCTGGTAGGCCCTTGATATTTTGGGTCTTCCCTTTGTTGGTTTTAAGCGGATGGTATGCCCTTGGGATACTTTGGGTTTTTCTCCTTGCTGGTTTTACGAGGATCGTATTTGGCAATCTGTTTGGGAGGGTTCCAACCCAGAATATGGTTCATAGGTATTTGGGGGGCTATAGTGGTTTTAAGATAAGACCTGTAGTGTCTGCATAGCCTTCTTATTGGTTGATGAATATACCCTAAACCCTAAACCCTATAAACCCTAAACCCTAAACCCTATAAACCCTAAACCCTAAGCCCTAAACCCTAAACCCTAAACCCTCAACCCTAAACCCTACCAAACGGCCTAGGACATGTACCGCTTCGCGGTGGACATCTTTCAAGCGTGGATCACCGTCTTCAGCCTTCCGCAGGGCCTCGTGGACCGGGAATAGGGGTTTTGGGTTCCGGGTTTAGGGTTTAGGGGTTTGGGGTTTAGGATTGAGGGGTTTAGGGGTTTACCGTTTGTGTCTTTAGCTTTCAGTTTGCGTTCGTCTACAAGTCGTTGGCTTTGACTTCCTCATCGTTTTGGAAAAGTTGCTCCTGAAAATGAGGCTGTTATGTTTCTAGACGACTCCATAGGCACTCTGGAGCGGAAATCGAAATAGCAAGTTTCGGCGGCCAGAAACAAATCGGGTTTGTACCCTAAACCCTATAAACCGTGTAAACCCTATAAACCCAGTAAGCCCTATAAACCCTATGAACCCTATAAACCCTATAAACCCTATAAACCCTGTAAACCCTGTAAACCCTATAAACCCTATAAACCCTGTAAACCCTTTCTTTGAGCAGCTGAGGCTTCTATGATTGCATGGAAGCGGTGGGGATCATCCCACTGGCTCCCCGTCCCGTGTGATGATTGATATTTTTTAGATTTGTTCTTCCGGGGGGGGGAGTTGGGGGGGGGGGGGTGTGTGTAGGGTTTAGGGTTTAGGGTTTAGGGTCTGCAGGGTTATTGGGTTTAGGGGCCGGTTTGGGGTTGAGGGTTTAGTAAGGCTGTTTGGGGTGTTTGAGGAGGCTCAGGGGTTTTGGGCTTTGATGACTGGGAGTTGGGTGTTTCCGGTGCCGGGTGTTCGTGGCTTTGGGGCGGCTTAGGGTGTTTGGGAGATTGGGTTAAGGGTGGGGGGGCGGGGGGGTGGTAGGGTTTACGGTTTCGGGTTTATGGTTTAGGGAGCAGCGTCACCGATGTGTACTTTCGGCGCTGTTTGGGCGGTTGGGGGGCGACAGAGAGCAGCACCCTAGGGCCCTGAACTGTAGCTTGTGTGGGTTTAGGGTTTAGGGTTCAGGGTTTAGGGATTAGGGTTTAGGGTTATAATTAGGTTAACCTTGCCGTTGTGAGTACTTTTCACGGATGAGGTTTAGGGTTTGGGGTTTTTGGGGGGGAAGCTAAACCCTAAACCCTAAACCCTAAACCCTAAACCCTAAACCCTAAACCCTAAACCCTAAACCCTAAACCCTGAACCCTGAACCCTGAACCCTGAACCCTGAACCCTGAACCCTGAACCCTGAACCCTGAACCCTGAACCCTGAACCCCAAGCCCGAAACCCTAAACCCAAAACCCCTAAGTCCGACAGCTACTCACAGCTGAGGCTTTGGCAATCTCGCGAGTGCCACTTCAGCTGCCTGAGGCTCACGCCTGGGCCCAGCTCAGGAGCCCCGTTTAGGGTTTAGGGTTTAGGGCTTAGGGTTTAGGGTTTAGGGGAGGTTTGAGGTTGGGGTTTTGGGTTAGGGCCCCTTTCTAAATCCCTAACCCCCCCCCCCCCCCACACACAATTAAAGGGTTTAGGGTCTGTAGGGTTATTGGGTTTTGAACCCCTGCACCCCCCCCCCCCCCCCTCCCCACCTAATCCTAAGCAAGGGGAGCCCTAAACCCTACAACCCTACAGCCCTACGACCCTGCAACCCTACAACCCTAAACCCTAAGCCCTAAACCCTAACCCTACAACCCTAAACCCTACAACCCGTCTAAGAGCCAGAGTAGGAGCCGCAGCTGCTTCCACACTACGCCACTAGGCCACTGGTTTGGCCGAGGGCTTCGCCTGGGAACGTAGTAGGGTTTTGTAGGAGTTAGGGCTTAGGGCTTAGGGTTTAGGGTTTAGGGTTTAGGGTTTAGGGCTTAGGGCTTAGGGGTTGGGGCTTCCAGCGTGGGATTTAGGGTTTAGAGGTTTAGGGTTTAGAGCTTGGCGTTTGGGGTTTAGTGCTGAGGGTTGAGGTATTGGGCATAGGGTGGATTCTGGCGTCCTAGATTTGCCCTCAATCCTAAACCTTAAACCCTAAACCCTAAACCCTACAATGGTTCAGGGATTCTTGACGGCCTTGCGGGTCGCTCCTGGGTCATTTTAACTGCTTGGTAGCCCAGTGGTCCCCTTCTCCCTTTTTTCGGTGCACGGCTTAGGGTTTAGGGCGTTTTAGGGTTTAGGGATGTTTAGGGTTTAGGTGTTTTTAGGGTTTAGGGTTTGTTAGGGTTTATAGGGTTTAGGGTTTAAGGTTTAGGGTTTAGGGTTTAGAAAGTAAGCAACCCCAAAAGGTTGCCCGCCCCTTCTGAGCCTGAACCTTGAGTAGCAAACTCTAAACAAACCCTAGAACCTGAAAAGCCCTAAAACCCCAAACCCCAATCTGTAACCCCAATTACAAGTCTACTTACAACCTACTTAGGGGACTTAGGGGGCTTGTGAGTACAGCTATAACAAAGCCTAAAGCCGAAGCCCTAAAACACGATAACCCTTAAACCCTAGGCCCAAACCCTAAAGCCTAAACCCTAAACCCTAAACCCTTTATCTATACATATTTAAACCTTAGCGAATTTCGAATTTTCGAGCCTTAGGGCAAGGCATGAAAATTCTTGGGCAAGGCTTGGGGGCCCGAACCCTGTCTGGGTTTAGGGTTCAGGGTTGAGGGGTTTAGGGTTCAGGGGTTTAGGGTTTAGGGTTCAGGGGTTTAGGGTTTAGGGTTTAGGGTTTAGGGTTTACCGAACCCTAAAATTCCAGTCTGGTAGGGCGAAAGAACTTGGGGCAGGTGCTTAGGCTCTTAAGGTCTAGGGCCCTAAGGTATGGAGCCTTAGCTTCATGGATCGAGTTTAGGCTTTAGGGTTTAGGGTTTAGGGTTTAGGGTATGGATCGAGTGAACTTTGCATTTTCCTACTGTTATGGGGGTTCTCTGGGCGGGTAGGTATCTTGCCAAAGCTCGATACTTGCTTGACTAGAAAAAGCTAGAACATGAGCTGCTGATCCCTGAGCCCTGAACCCTAAACCCTAAACCCTAAACCCCCGCAGGCAGGGTCGCCAACATCGACGGGAGCTTCATCCTCGACAACCCGCGCTTCGTCAACGCGTCACGTGCTCCTCGGACGTGGGTTTAGGGTTTGGGGTTTGGGGTTTAAGGTTAAGGGTTTGCGGTTTAGGGTTTGGGGTTTAGGGTTTAGGGTTTGGGGTTTAGGGTTTGGGGTTTAGGGTTGAGGGTTTATAGGTCTTAGGGTTTAGGGTTTAGGACACGCACACACCCACACACACACACACACACACACACACACACACACACACACACACACACACACACACACACACACACACACACACACACACACACCCACTACACACACACACACCCAAACACACACACCCAAACACACACACCCAAACACACACGCCCAAACACACACACACCACACACACACACACACCACACACACACACACACACCACACACAACACACACAACACACACAACACACACACACACACACACACACACACACACACACACACACACACACACACACACACACACACACACACACACACACACACACACACACACACACACACACACACACACGCGCGCGCGCGCGCTCTGATAAGCCATTTGTGAACCTCAACCACCCGAAGCGCTCACAAACCCCAAGCCCTAGGCCCTGCAGCCTAGACACTACAATCCCTAAGCCCTCTGCTTCCAAGCTTTATCAGGAGCGTCAAGCTTCGGCCTCAGTTCCTTCTTGCGGTGGTTTCACGCTTCAACGAACCCTCGGCCCACGCATGAATCCGACACCCGTGGCTCATCAACCACCCCAACTAACTCCCTAAACCCTTAACCCAGAACCTCAGCCTAAAGCCTGAACCCTAAACCCTAGACCCTAAACCACCCTACACACAAAATCCAAAACCCTAAATCCTAAACCCAAACCCTAAACCCAAAATCCCAAACCCTAAACCCAAAACCCTAAACCCTAAACGCTAACCCTAAACCCTAAATCCAAAACCCTAAGCCCTAAACCCGAAACCCTAAAACCTAAATCCTAAATCCTAAACCCTAACACTAAGCCCTATCAGGCATTCTACTTGAATGACATGACGCTCCGGATGGACGATCTCATCAAGTAGAGAGGCGCTAGCTGCCCGAAGGTTCAAAAACCAGGTGTCATCCCAAAACCCAAAACCCTGAACCCTAGGGTGCAGGGTTTAGGGTTTGGGGTTTAGGGTTCCGGGAAACCCTATACCCTAAACCCTAAACCCTAAACCCTAAACCCTGAACCCTCTTAAGCCCGCAACTCGGAGACTGCAGAAGCCTCTCCTCGATGCGATCCTCACGATTCTAAACGGCTCCGACCGCAAAGTAGAACGCAAGGGTGTCTAGGGGGTTAGGGGGTTGAGGGTTTAGAGGGTTTAGGGTTGAGGGTTTAGGGTTTCGGGTTTACCTTACCTAGGGTTTTGGGTTTAAGGTAGATGTTTCCAAGATCCACAAACCCCGATATCGTTAATGATGCGGTCCTACTGGAAGCCTTAAGCCCCTGAGCCCTAAAAGTCTGGACCTTGGGGGAGGTTTTGGCTGTTGGGGCAATGCAGGGCTTCTCTTCTCAATACAGCCGCCCATGCGAAGCAGAAGGTGTTACTTTGGGAGTGTGGTGGGTTCAGGGTACAAAGCTTCTAGGACCCCTTGCCCCACTGTTCAGGTTCCCCGTGAAACCCTAAACCCTAAACCCTAAACTTTCCGGGATTAAGCAATCTCGACTCTAAGAGGCTCAATTCGCCAAGGGTCTCTGCGCCTTGGAAAAGCCGGGAATATCTATACCTTGAACGTGGGGGTTCACCCACTTGTGCTAGGAAGGGAAGGGGTGAAGAGGGGGTGGGTGGATCCCAACAATGATCCTTTTGTGTGCTCCAGATATACCCCCTAAACCCTTAAACCTAAACCCTAAACCATTTTAATAACCTACAATGATCCAACAATGACATTAAATTTTCTTGTGTATCAGCATACATAGCTTTAACATATTGTGGCATTGTTGGTTTTGTATTGACAAAAATTGATTCAAAACCATATTTCTTTGCATATTTGAATTTTCAACTCAAGCAAGAAAGAAGAACCTAAGAAGATATGGTACACAATCAAACCACATGTGTAGTGTATAAATAAGTCAATAAATATAAATATACATATATATGTGTGTGTTTTATGCACTTAGCATTTTAAATGGTCAATTGTGTTGCTTGTATTTTCATTTATAGTCATGATATTATTGGTAGTTGGTGTGGGTGGTCTAGTTCTATTTTCTTTTTAGTGGTTCGGTTATGATTAAGAACATGTGTGTAGTAACATGACAGCTAGAAGTAACACAGCCAAGGCCTACGGGGGTAAGATGTGGTCTTTATGCCCATCCTGGGGAAGGTGTAGGAGAAAGCCGGCTCAACCCCGTCAACCTTCAACCCTCAAATGCCTTCAACCCTAAAACCCCTTGAGCCCAGAGTTTAGGAGGTTAGGGTTTGAGAGTTTAGGGTTTAGGGTTTAGGGTTTAGGGTTTAGGGTGTAGGGTTTAGGCCTAAGCTTTAGGCTTCAGGGTCTTGTGGGTTCTCATGCACCTTCAGAGGAATCTAGTCGCAGAGGGCATTCGTCCATGGAATGGCCTCGCTAGGCCCTAGCCCTAACCCCTAAACCCTAAGCCCTAAGCCCTAAACCCGAAACCCTAAACCCTAAACCCGCTTTTGGCTTCACCAGCACGCGGCTTTAGGGGGCAGAAGGGCGGTTTTGAGACAGTCGGAGATCATGCCCATGCATCCCATGCTTCTAAGGGCAAGCCCGCTTTAGGCCCTAGCCCTAAACCCTAAACCCTAAACCCTAAACCTTAAACCCTAAACCCTAAACCCTAAACTAGGCCGTTTAACCCTAAACGCGAAGCCCTCAGAATTCCACCTTGAGCGTGAAGATGCCCCACAGGCCCAGACCCCAAGCACCCAGAAACAATATAGTTAACAAGAGCAACCAACCTCCTAAACCCTAAAGCTTTTCAATCCTGAGCCCCTAAACATTTATAAGCCCTAAACCCTGAACCCCAAACCCTGAACTTTCAAGCTCTAAGCCCTAAGCCCTAGCCCTAAACCCTAAACCCTAAACCCTAAACCCTAAACAAGTCGAAGAGCCAGAGAAGTGGCCCAGCATGGTGGGGCGCTTCGAGAGCTCCGATCTCAAGCGCGACGCGCTCGCGTACGAGGAGATGTTGCCGTGGGCTTTCGCGGGCGTTTAGGGTTTAGGGTTTAGGGTTTAGGTTTTAGGGTTTAGGGTTTGGGGTTGAGAGTTGAGGCTTTAGGGTTTAGGGTTTAGGGTTGTTTACGAGCTTAGGGGTTTTAGGGCTCTTGAGAGGCCACCCTCTTGGTTTGGAGATGAAGAGGCTTGCGGGTGGATACCTGTTCTCTGGGACGCCCTTTTCTTTTTTCCCTGTGCTGTTCTTTGCTGAAGTCTTAAGACCGCATGAGAGGTTCATGAAACCCCTATAGTGTTCTTATGCGGCTGGTATAAACCAGTCTACCGAAACTTGTCCCTGTCCTTGATGTACAAAGTCAAAGAATTACCAGTCGATGTAGTGCTATCTTTCGGTTTCTTGAATCAAGGGTCAATTCAGTTCAGGGTTTAGGGTTTAGGTTCTAGGGTTTAGGGTTTAGGGTCCTGAAGAGCGCCTTCTGTGGTCCATATTGCAAGGTGGGGGTGGGGGGGACATTCATTTCTCCAGGAACTGGTGGTTTAGGGTTTAGGGTTTAGGTTTAGGGTTTAGGGTTTAGGGTTTAGGGTTTAGGGTAAGGCGGCCCAAGGCTTGCTTACAACCCCCTGTTCTCAAAGAAGCTGTGGGTACCTGCAGTTTAGGGTTTGGGGTTTAGGTTTAGTTAGGGTTTAGGGTTTAGGGTTTAGGGTTTAGGGTTTAGGGTTTAGGGTTTAGGGTTTGAGGGTTTGAGGGTTTGAGGGTTTGAGGGTTTGAGGGTTTGAGGGTTTGAGGGTTCAAGGGTTTGAGGGTTTGAGGGTTTGAGGGTTTGAGGGCTTGAGGGTTTGAGGGTTTGAGGGTTTGAGGGTTTGAGGGTTTGAGGGTTTGACGGTTTGAGGGTTTGAGGGTTTGAGGGTTTGAGGTTTGAGGTTTGAGGGTTGAGGGCTTAGGGTTTAGGGTTTAGGTGGTACCCAATGCGCGAATCGGCATGCGAGCAGTGCTCCTTCATCTCTGTCTGGCTTCAGCTTCAGAAACGACCTATCCAAGCCTCACTTGCCTCTCTACAAACTGTAGACTTGATAGACGAGAGCCAATGCCTGAATCTCTCCTTACACCCCCTCCGCCGGAACCCTACACCCTTTTTTCCCCGACCCTAGGCCCCTGAAACACGGAAGGGCTTAGGGTTTCGGGTTTGGGGTTTCGGGTTTAGGGTCTAGGGCTAGGGTTTAGGGTTTAGGGTTTAGGGTTTAGGGTTTAGGGTTTAGGGTTTGGGGTTTAGTGTTTAGGGTTTAGGGTTTAGGGTTTAGGGTTTAGAGCTACGGGTGCCATGGACATGGACTGGGCTGAGCAGCGCCGCCGGCTCCAGGGCGGAAGCGGCGCCGAGGCTCCCCGGAGGGTTTAGCGTTTCAGGGTTTAGGGGTTTAGGGGTTTAGGGTTTAGGGTTTAGGGTTTTAGGGTGTAGGGTTCAGGGTTTAGGGTTTTAGGGTTTAGGGTTTAGGGGTCTAGGGCTGAGTTTAGGGGTTTAGGTTTTTATGTGAGCAGAACTGTGCCGGTAGCCCTTAAGGCCGGCGCGTCCCATGTGTCCCTATCGTCGCCTTCCTGGCGGGGGGTGGGCACATAACCTTTTCTTTACATTTTAGGGTTTTAGGGGTTGAGGGTTTAGGGTTTAGGGCTGAGGAGGGTTTAGGGTTTTGAGGGGGTTATTTAGGGTTGGGGTTGATTAGGGTTTAGGAGTTTTGGGGTAATCTAGGGGTTTAGGGCTTAGGGATTTTGGGGGTTTCAGGGCTTAGGGTGTTGGGGTTGTAGGTTTTTAGGGTTTTAGGGTTGTAGGCGTTTCAAATTAAGGTTTTAGGTTTTAGGATTTTTAGGGTGTTACGGTGTTGGGGTTGTAGGTTTTTAGGGTATTAGGGTTGCAGGGGTTTAGAGTTTTAGGCGTTAAGGTTGTAGGGTTTAGGGTTTCGGGGCTTGAGGGTTTAGGGGTTGTAGGTGTCTGGGGTTTTAGGGTTGTAGGGTTGTAGGTTTTTTTGCGTTTCAGGGATTTAGGTGGTGGGGCTTTGGTGTTTCGGGCTTTAGGTTTTAGGTTTGGGGTTTTGTGGATTTAGGTGGTGGGGCTTTGGTGTTTCGGGCTTTAGGTTTTAGGTTTGGGGTTTTGTGGATTTAGGATGTTAGGGTTGTAGGTTTTTAGGGTTGTGAGGTTTCAGGGTTATGGATGTTAGGGTGTTAGGGGTTTAGGGGTTTAGGGGTTTAGGGGTTTAGGGGTTTAGGGTTGTGGTTGAGGTCTTCAGGGTTTGAGGGGTTTAGGTTGTAGGTTGGGGTTTTGGGCTGTTTCGGCGTTGAGGTTCTAGGGGTTTGAGGGTTTTGGGTTCGAGTCAGAGTTTAGGGTGTACGGCTCTGTTGTCGGTTTTAAGGTTTTGGGTCGATCTCCAGCGCACCAAGCTGCTTGACGATGCGTCAGAGCACACTACTGGCTTTTGGGGCCTTCTTTGGGATCAAGTACTACGCCGATGTGGTTTTGAGGCTGCCAGCTGCCCGTGAGCTCTGCACCTTCGCCGGCAAGTACGAGATCGAGGCCCAAACCGCCCAGGAGATCATCACGGAGTTGCAGCGCGTGATCGGGGAATGCTTGGTACCAGCTCGCAAGCAAGCGGAGCGTACTCAACACTTTGCTCAGAAGAGCCGAGATCCTGGAAAGCCCGGTCCCCTCCTGCTGGACCGGGAGCCCGCCCCACGCCCGTGAACGTGATGCACAATGCCTTGGCGCATCGGCGAAGACGGCTCCCGCAACTCCTGCCGTTTATGCTCCCACGAACACCGAAAGGCAGCGGGCTCGCAGTGATCAATGGTCGTGGAGCGTTTGGGGTTCAGGGTTTGGGGTGGGGCTTGGGGAGTTGAAAGGTTGATTGTCATATACTA